TATTCTAAGTCCCGAGGGGTAATTTTTTTTTTCTGAAATCGGCAGTTTTCGCTGGAGTTCTGGTGGCCCCCCAAAGAGTTCTATCGAAAACTGTTATAGTCCGAAGCGCTCCGACCGATATTTCAAAAGTTACAGCCATCCAAAATGTGTACTTCCAACATATCTATAAATTTCATTGTCGATTTGTCACAAAATTAAAAAGATTGTGTATAAAACGATTAACTGACATCAACTCTATTTAATACGTTACAAGTTGACCATGTATGTACCATCAATGTTGTACCATCTTTTATTAAAAACTTACCATTCTTCTTAATTTTTTTACGTCTTTAATGTGCATCCTTTTGTTTTCTTGATTATATGATTATAAACATGTAGTCAATTTTAAACTAACTTTCTATTAGAAGGCAACTATGGATTGATTAATCTATATATTTTTTATTAATATACTTATGTTTGGTATTTAAGGATGTTCTGGAGATTCCGTCTCAACCAAAATTATGCAGAAAATAGTTGTAACATAAATACATTCATAAATAACTGTTAATATAAAATATAAAAATTTTTTTAATTGTAAATTGTTTCAAATTTTGTTGCTATATTTTTGTTTATTGATGATCTGCTTGTGTGTAATATATTATTATATTGGTAACATTTCTTTAATGTTCACATTTTTTGTAAAACCCTTTATAAAATGGATATTTAACCCAAGCAGCAAAATAGGGCGAAATTACGTTTATTCGACCTTCTGATAGGTTCAAAAGTCTGTTTGACCAAGCCCAACTTACGTCGAATCGACGTCGAAAGAAGGTAAGTGGGAAATAAAGTTGAAGTAATTTTACGGTTGAAATTAGGTAATGCAAGGCATTTCGCCTTATAAGTCATAGTCTGATTCGGTGAAATGGACCTATCAGAAGGTCGAATATCGGTAATATTTTGGTAATTTTGACCAATTTGTGCCCTCTCTTCGACCTAACTTTTGTCTTTGAGACATCTAGTAGATGGCAGCGCTGCACATCACGAAAAAATATATATTCCATATTAGTTCTACCAAGACGGGTCTATGCTACAGTCATAGCATATGGTTCCAACCAGCCATGGAAACTCGGAGTAAAATATTAATAGAGTCCACCACTACGTCGGTTTTGAAACTGAATATCGTGTGACATGTAACAGAAATATAAGTGCGAAAGAAAATTTTCTGTACAGAATTTTATTTTACTTCGTTAAAAGCAACGCGATGTCGAAAATTGTTTTGTGTTAGAGAACTCTTAGCCTCTCCTTCTAATTTTCGTTGAAAGAGATCGTTGGCTTAAGCTCCTTCCACGTTGCTCTCCGGTGTTTTCTCGGGAACGGTGTGGTCAAGACAATGAGTCTTTTATTTTAAGTCTTTTATTATTCTCGACAAGTCTACTAGCAACTATATGATAACGAAAAATCGCTGAGCTTAAGATAGCCGTGCTTCACGTGCTGCTTGCTTGACTCGCTGCAAGCTTCTGGCGAGAGTTTGGTGGGGATGGCTCGGGTCCGCTCACGTGATCGCGTAGCTAAGCGGGGGGACAACAGGGACGGATCGTACGCGAGTATGCCCGAAGCATTAATATCACAATACTTAACAACGCCGCCCGCCTTGAAGGGTCTGCCCTTCAACAATTGCTTTAAATGACAGGTGGCTCGTAGCCATAAGTTGACAAAACAATCGACTGAACTAAATTAAATCATTGTAACATGAGTAATTCAAATTAATACAGTATGCTTAGTTTACGCTGGTACATAAATGAACTTAACTTAAACATTAGATATAAAAAAATTGAAGAATTCACGCAAATAACATGCCTTGCAATATGTTTCATGTTGACAATATAAGTGTAAAGGAATTTACGCATAGTGGCTTACATCTATAGAATTATATCGGTAATATTGCTAACTTTGAAAGCGGTCTAACATAAGATCCTTTCGAGGTTCTGACCTTCGCTGAACGCGCTAATCCATCGGAACCTAGATGTATGTCTTCTATTCGACCAGTTATCCATTGCAATGGAGCTACGCCTTGTTGCTTTATTAAAACTAACTGGTCAAGTTTCAATTGTTGACCCTTTGACATCTTCCACTTATGTCTTTCCTGTAATGAGTTAAGATATTCGCTGCTCCACCTATGCCAAAAATGCTGTCGCATTTGTTCTACTACTTGCCATCGCAACAGTTTATTCGTGTTAACATCTGTTAAATTGCGGGCAGGAAAACTGTTTAACGGAGAGCCAACCAGAAAATGCCCTGGACTTAAGTAGCCTAAGTCGTTAGGATCCGAAGTTAAAGGGACGAGAGGTCTCGAATTTAAAATAGCTTCGATTTCGCACAATACGGTTGACATTTCTTCAAAGGTTAGGTTGGCTGTGCCAACAATACGAGTGAGATGGAACTTGGCGGATTTAACTGCAGCTTCCCATAAGCCCCCAAAGTGGGGAGCGTTAGGAGGAATGAAATGCCACTCGGTTTGTTGATCGCGTAAGAAATGCTCTATGGAGTTCTGCGCTTGTTCGGTTTTAAGAAAATCATAGAATTCCTTAATTTGTCTTTGTGCTCCAACGAACGTAGTCGCGTTGTCGGAGTACATTCGTTCGGGTTTGCCCCGTCGCGATATTAATCTTTTGAGTGATGAGATAAAGGCGTCAGTAGTGAGGTCGCTCACAAGTTCTAAATGTAGTGCCTTGGTGGCGAAACATACGAAAACTGCTATATAAGCCTTATGATTACGAGAGTTTCGGCGTTTACCCTCACGTAAAGTCACAGGTCCGGCGTAGTCGACTCCACAGTGCGAGAATGGCCGCGATACGTTAACTCTTGGTGCGGGCAGAGAACCCATTATTGTTTCGGAAAAGATCGGCTTAGCCTTAAAGCATATTACGCAATTGTTAATGATTTTACGAGTGGATGATCGCAATGATAGCGGCCAAAACCGTTGCCTAACTGCAGCCATAGTAGCTTGCAAAGGAGAATGCATATTACGTTGATGCTCAAATTCTATTATACGCTTCGTTAAAATGTGATTTCGAGGAAGGACTATTTGATGACAAGCGTCGAATGATAGAGCTGAGTTTTTCAGTCTTCCACCGACTCGGATTAAGCCGTCTTCACTCATGAATGGAGATAGTGAAAGGATACAACTAGATTTGCTAATGTCGTTTTGATTTTTTAACGCATGATACTCGTTAATAAAGGCTTTCATTTGAACAACCTTGCATATGATGTTTAAAGAATTTATAATCTCCTTTGGAGAAATCTCGATGGATTGTGAAATAGAATCTTGAGGCTTGGTGAATCTAGAACAATAAGCTAAGATTCGACATATTTTATTAACACTGGAAAACTTGTTGAGCAAGTCGTCGATAACTTCGCAGTCAATGGATACAACAGCTGTGCAAACGACCCTTTGTTCAGGAATCTCGCCATCAAAGGAATTGTATTCCCCGCTTGGCCAATGGCCGTCTGGCTCTAGTAAGAATGATGGGCCGTGCCACCACATGTGCGAGTCTATTAGATCGTCAGGAAATGATCCTCTGGATAGAATGTCTGCTGGATTATTGCATGAAGCGACGTAGCGCCAACTGCTTATGTCAGTTAATCGTTGAATTTCCCCAACTCGGTTAACTACGAATGTCGACCATTTGCGCGATGGAGAAGCTATCCAATTTAAAGTTATTTTGGAATCTGATGACAAGAATACTTCTACGTCTGTTAAATCGATTGATGATCTAATTTTATCAACTAACTGCGACAACAATAGTGCTGCTTGCAATTCGAGTCGCGGCAATGTTACTGCTTTAAGTGGTGCGACACGAGATTTGGAGCAAAGTAGGTTTGACTGGTATCTTTGATGACCAACTTTCATGCGAATGTAAACGCACGCACCGTAAGCGCGTTGGCTAGCATCGCAAAAGCCATGAATTTGTGTGGATTTTGGATTAGCGAAATTACCGACGCAACGAGGAATATGAAACTGATTCAAACAAGGAAGTTGTAATTTAAGTCTTAGCCATTTTGTATGAGAGTCTTGCTGAATCGATTCATCCCAATATACTTTCGAAATCCATAAATCTTGTATTATTAATTTCGCGATTACAATTATCGGACCAAGTAGCCCTAATGGATCAAATAATCTTGACACTTCAGATAATATCGAACGTTTAGTTACGACGTTAGGTTGTTGACTAGGCTTGTACGAAAAACGAAATGTATCGTCATCTCGATCCCAAAGGATGCCTAAAATACGGAAATCAGAATCTTTATCAAACGGTACGAGACCCTCGCTTTGATCGCTCACGCCATTCAATAATTCGGGACAATTAGATCCCCATTTACTAAGTTCAAAAGAAGCTAGTTTTAGTAATTGTACTACTTGATCTCTAATGACCATCGCTTCTGATATTGTATTAGCTCCCGTAAGTAAGTCGTCGCCGTAGAAGTTACGTATAACATGCAACGAACCTATGGGAAAGACGTGGGCGTATTTCTCCGCTAGGTGCTTAAGGCACATTGTAGCGAGGAAAGAAGCAGCTGCAGTACCGTATGTAACAGTAAGTAATTCATAGATCTTAACATCTAGATCGGACATGAGACGCCAAAGAATACGTTGCAGTTTCGTCTGCGAAGGATGCAGCAATATTTGTCTGTACATTTTAATTATGTCGGCTACTATTACGTATATGTAAATACGAAAGCGCATGAGTATAGACATAAGGTCTTCTTGAACGACCGGTCCTATCATCATAGAATCGTTTAAGGATATGCCGGTATCAGTTTTGCATGATCCGTCAAATACGACGCGAAGTTTTGTACTTTTAGCAGACTCTTTTAACACGCAATGATGAGGCAAGTAATAGGCTCCGGATTCGTTAGAAGATTGTTCTACTATCGGTTTCATGTGACCTAATGTAAGATATTCATCGATGAAATCCGAATAACGTTTCTTGAGATGGGGATCACGGACGAAGCGTCTTTCTAATCCCTGCAAACGACTTAATGCGATATTTCTCGAATTGCCGATACTAACAATTAATTCTTCCTTTAACGGTAATTTGACTATGTATCTACCCTGTTCGTTTGTCGATACATTTTCTAAGAAATGTTTTACGCAAAAACTCTCTTCGAGAGTATAGCTATTTGATTTGTAGTGAATCTCGTCTAGCTGCCAGAATTTACTTAACTGCTCGTTTAATTCGGAATTGCTGAGAGAAGCGTGAAAAGATTGCATGTTTCGCGAGTTCATTACGGAATTGTTTAAACGACCCGCTAGAATCCAGCCTAATCTGGTTTTTTGCAATGTCGGATGCTTTTGTGAAGGTTTGATCTGTCCTACGCATATGAGGTTCCAGAATGTGTCTGCACCGATCAATATGTCAATTTTAGACGCAATATGAAAATTGGGATCGGCGAGTTCAATATTTCGCGGTATTTCGAAAGCTGTTCGTTTCACGTTAGAGGATGGAATATCATCTGTTACGCGGTCGGTTACAATGCAATCAATGATCGTGGAATAAGAATTTAAGCGCGATTGCAACTTTAATTGCACTGCTTGATTTGAACGAGTGGTTGTGCCGTTTATACCTGATATAGAGATATCTATCGAACGTGGAATTAGACCTAAAGTGTTTAAAGTGTCTTTAGAAATAAAATTAGCTTGCGATCCGGAATCTAACAATACTCTGCATGGTTGTAGTGAACCGTTTTTGCTTTGAACGAGAGCTA